AGAATCTGCTCCAAGATTTTGCCAGGCACACGTATGCATATGAATCTTTCCAGCCCACCAATTCCCAGCTGCTGAGGTAGACATGATTTAGAAGAAAGAGCATTAGCTCTAATGTGCATCAGGGACCATGTCAATCAATTCCTACAGTCTGATCTGGCCAGGCTTCTCACCAGCACCGTTGGAGTGGGTGGCAGAGTCAAGGAGGCAGCAATAGTAGCAGGTAGAAGAGGGAAAAGTTGAGTTAAGAGGAATGAGGTGACAGTGGGAGTAGCAAGACCCACATGTAAAAAGAGTCAGGAACCTTGTCACAGTCTGCCTGCCACTTTAGCAAGGATACACTGCCTTTTGAACCCTCCTCTGGCAGGCAGCTTCTCTGCTGCCTGAAACACAACTGCCTACCTCCAACTCGCAAAAGCCTTCCTGCAGACCTCAGGTGATCTATCATCTCTTCTGCTACTGCAGTGAGGTTCACCTCTCCCAAGAGTTATCAGCCAGTTAGAGCCATTACCAGGTTTTAAATATGGTATATCTCTGCTCTTTCAAACCGCTCCTTCAATGATGACTGCAGCTCCAAGATAACCCCCAAGACACATTTTTTTTTTTATTTTTCAGATTATTCCTGAAAATTATTTTTGCCATTATGCCTACACAAAACGTGCTCACACACATACAAGTCTTTACAATAGTTTGGCAGTGCACCCAATATTGACATGTGACAATATTGCTCCTCAGTACTCTCTCAGCCTTGTGGTTTGGGGTTTTTGATTTGTCTTTTGATTGCCAGTTCTCTGCTGGAGGGTTCATCTTTTGTGGTAGGTATTGTGGAAACCTAAAATGATTCTGGTTCATATCCAAGACTCTGAGGTAATATTATAATAAAAATTAATGAGAAAGGGATACAGTTATGGCTATGGATTGACTGTGTGGTCTTTGTTCCACATAGCAGGACCCCAGGAGTAAAAACAGTAAATAATACTCTTTGTTTCAGAGTTATACTACTCATTCTAATCTATTACTTTTCTTGATATACTGTTCAGTGATAATTTTTGGTTAAGACCCATGAGTCTCTGCCTTTAGCTTTAAAGATAGTATACTTTTGGAAAAGCAAAAGACATTTAGTTTTTTCCTTAGACTTTGTTTATAGCTATACTATTTAGCTTTAAGAACAACTTTGTCTTTATTGATTCTACATGCTTAGATTGCATGTCATACCTAGGGAATAAAGTCATGTCACATTTGGAAACAATTCTTTAAAGGTAAGAGGGTCCTGAACACGAGGTCTGACAAAAAAATGTAACATGAATCCCTTTCATTTTTTCCTTCATCTAAGGTAGACAACAGAAGTTACACAGCATGTGAAAATTTGCAGCAGTACACCCTCCTTGTTATCAAATTCCAACAAATCTCACATATACCACGTCTTAAAAGACAAACCAACCAACCTAGGGAAATCATTAGTTTTTCAAATAAAGGGAAGACGTGTCCATGCCCCTCAAAATAATCTACAACATCAGCCATGCCAGCTCTGAATTCCATGCAGGACAGAACTAAATATTACTGAAGCAAAACAGTTCCTTTACAATCTTTTTCCTTTGGGACTATCTTTCATGCAGTTCTATGTATTTAGCTCTGAGATGAAAGACAGTGACTGCTGTCTTGTTTCCCCCAGGAGCTAGTTGCTTCTCTGTCTTCATGTACCATATAGGAAGGTAAAGAGTACAGGAACATCTTCACAGACGTAAAGACAAAAAAACAACACCTTACACATTTACCTTACAACACAATCACTAAAATCAGTGTCCCCTTCCCCCAACAAAAAGAAAAAAGTCATCTAAATTTGTAACAGTCTCATTAAATGGATTCATACAGTAAGGGAATAGTCTCACCATGAAGAAAGCAATACTTCATATTTCAATAGTTTGAGCACAAATGTCATTTGGCAAGAGGCAAAAATCAAGTGATTTTCCAGCTATTTAAACACAAAGCACAGCTTCAAGCTAATTAATGCAGTACCAGACTAGCCAAACTCTAATAAATTTGTACAGTAAAGAGTGAAAGGAGATTATGTAAAAACAATCACTGAGCTAATAATATATAAACCTGTACTGTACAGTGAAGCTCTATGATGGAAACAACAAAATAACCCATCTCCTTTATACAAATAGACAGAAGCCGCCTTTCAGCTGGAAGAAGGATGTAGATCTCCACTTGCACTCAAAGAGTGACTTCTGCAAATCCCACAGCGTTACTAGCACAAGAAAATAAGACTGTCCAACTGGAACTATACACAGGAAGGGAGATGTGCTCATTGAAAAGATAAGGAATAAAGTCCCACAGAACTAAAAGAAATCCCAAAGTCTTTCTTTAAAATATACATGCCACTGTAGTCATTCATTTTGACTGATTTATAAATGTTATCATTCTTTTCTAGGATGCCAAAATAAACCAGTCTTACAGGTTGCTGAATTTATTTGTGCATTCACTTCTTTCATTTCAAAAGCTGGTTCTGACTGGCAGTGAAAGACTCTGCACTGATGCAACATTAGCATCAATGATACTTGCTTCTTGACAAGAATACCAATCAAATGAGAGAATAAAACATACAAACACTGTTTTTAAAGAGATGTTGATTAATATTGGTGTTTCCTCCCAGAAATTGATTTTCTGCACCAATTAAATACTGTCCTGACAAATACAGTTCTAACTTTGCCCTAGAATTCATAACATTGATCTTAGACCAGTTTCATTTCACTAAGTTTGTTGTCCTAACCCCAAAAATCCTTACTTACATGGGTAATCCTACCACATGAATTTTCTTTTTGAGCATCTTCATGTTGTCTCCAACTCTCCTTTTTATGCAAGTGAGGCTATCAAGAATATTCTTTTCATAAAGCTTCTTACAAAGCTTTCCTCTACTATGACACCTAAAGGAGACAACTCAATGGTGGCCGAACACCCGCTATGCAAAGATCTGCTCCTCTTTCAGGATTTTTATTCATCATTAACCTTTCCTTCTTCTCTCCCCACTTTAGCCACCTTCTGATTCTCTCATTACATTCTGATACTGCAAATTCTCTTACCCAATGCTAAAAATGATAATCACAAAAAAATAACAATCTCTGTTACAATTCTAAATTGGCTGTCCAGTGGCTTTGCAGGTTTGCCCACAATACAACAATGAAAACATTGTTCCACCTTTATTTTCTTTGAACACAGTCAAGCACCTGCATTTGAATTTTACAGACAAAAAACAACTTTGGTTATGGCCATGTGCTAGTTAATGCTTTCAGACTTTATACAGTCTCATGTTTTGTACTAGAAGCTACTGCCTACTCACACAAAAAGAAACCCGCTGAAAGCCAGAGGCACTTTCTGTTGGAAAAGCTACTATAGCAACTTTCAAAACTTGTAAAAAGTATTATTAATAACCTAGGCTTACTATGCAAATTGATTATCGCTGACAGCTTCTTTTGCCAACAAAACTATCAGTGAAGGAGTGATAATTTCGGTGTCAATGGACAAATTGGAGTCTCTAGTGTTTCACAGTAACCAGGACCTGTCAGTTCTGACCAAACGACTAGTAATGCTTCACACTGCAGGTACATGAGCCTTATTCAAAACAAGGTAAGGATGCCGGTGGACTGGGGAAGAGGAAAAGGGAAATGCTACAGGGGAGAAAAGTTTACAGTCTACTCCATGGCTACAAAACTACTTTTTTAACAGGTTACCTACATTTATGCTACTCCATGAGAGGAGGGTGTTTTACTTAAGGCATATTTACTTGTAGGGAAGAGTTGGACCTTTTCACTAGGTAGACACAGACTTTAAAAGAAAAAAAAAGGAAAGGGATAAAATCCATCAGAACTTTACTTCATTTAAGTTTCATCAAGTTTAACTGACTAAACTCTCATCGGCATTGATAATTTTAAATACGCAAGTTCAAGAGAAGCAGCAGATGTGATCTTCAAGATATAGGACTATAAAGACTAGATTAACAGAAAGAGAAAGGTCAAACACTTTCAACAAGAGGGAAATAACAAGCAAGGCAACAATATTTCATAGCACACTGCAAGATACTCACAATTCTGTAATACCACTGAGGATCCTTTCTTTATCGATAAGAACAACAATACCATTACCTATTTACAGAAAACTTAACAGATTGACAAGCAAACACCAACTCAAACATAACTTTATGCCTCCAAATCTTACTGCTGACCTTCTACTAGCTGATCCAAGGAGGAAATCTTCTTGGAGCCATCAATCGTGTAGATTGTTCTCACTCCCTGGGGCAGATTCACATTGTCAGACAGAGTTCGGGTCAGATCAGCCAGGAGAGCTTCAAAGGACCTAAATCGGTCAGGGGAGATGGCATATACAATCCCTTTGAAATACCGGTCTCCATTACGGTAGAAACGAACTTTCTTGGCTTTTTTCTCAGAACTCAGGGTCTGTAGAGTGCGGGTTCGGTAAAAGCTGCAGTGGGCACTGTGAGTAGGGCTGGGCAAACCATTTACCCGGGACCCCCTGCCATATCGCTGTGCTTTATCACGCTCATCAAAATGCTCCAGCTCCATATCTCTCCCAAAGGACATGTTCAAGTTCAATCTGAGGGATGAACCAGAGAACAGAAAAAGTTTAAGAAACTTACACATTTTAAGGAAGCTCGCTTTGAGAATGCATGTTCTATACATGGCACTTACAAGGGACTGCTTTCCAGGTTGAGAAAAAAATGTATGAATGAAACCAGGCTACAGTCACACATTTGTTTTACAGCTACCTCTCTTGCCAGGCCATAAAACCTGGTTTATAAGTTAGGCTTGTATGCTGCATAGCAATGGCACTCATGAAACCAACTGCTAGTGATATGCAACATTAAAAGTGTTTGTTCAAATTCAGTAAGAACTGTGAAAATGAGGTGTCAAAGTTGAGCTACTGGGAAAAAAAAGATAACAAAACAAAACCAAAACAGTACATCAACTTTCTACTTCTTCTCGTGTTATATACAGACACTATTTGAATCCAGTCTACCTTCTAGACCATTCATCCCCACTGAATTGCTTGTTCCAGCTGTGATCTCAAGACGTGCCATTTCAGAAAAGCAACCAGTCACCAACAAGTAAGCAGTTAAGAACTTGTCAAGGGAATAGGTGTCAATGAGAATCAGGACTACCACTCAGTGGGTCAAGCCCACTGTGCAATAGTCCTTGCATGTTCCAAATACTGGTTAAAGCTTTGTAGTAAATTATTTCAGTTGTCCTTGTGTAAATACTTCGCATACACTGAAAAGCAGAAGTGCTCAAATGCAATAAAATAATAAAAGAAATATTAGAGGGAGACGGGAAATGAGTACCTTTCAATGAGCAAACTACTTCAGTGCTCTGGAACATTTGCAAGATGCATTATTAATATCCTAAGCTTAATACTCAAATTGAGTATTAGGCTGACAGCTTCTTTTGCCTGCAAAACTAACACCAAATGAGTGATAAATTCAGTGTTGATGGGTATATTATCAATTGGTGTCTCCCACGTTTGACGGTAACAAAAACCCATCAGCTCTGACCAAAATGATCCCAGCTGTTCAATATACATCACATATATGGAAGCTCACATGTTCTGAAATGAAATCAAGGAAGTAGACACTTCTGTTCCTTTTTACTACCAACACAAGACTGAACACTACAAGTTGCACATTAATCTTCATAAATAAACCAAAAATATGATAAAAATAGTATTATCAAAAGATCATTAGATTGAAAACACATTTCTTTTAATTTAGGAGACATCTACATTTGCATTGTCTGCAGAACAGCAAAGCACAGTAAGTTTATTTATAGCACATACACACAGACCTAATTTAGAAGTGGCCTCTCTCATTGATTTCCAATAAAAAGAAAAAAAATAGCAAGCACAAGCTTTGTTTCAACCACTCATAATTATGTGACCATGAAGAAGAAAAAAATATATTCAGACCTGTTGTAAAGCAATAGGAGGAAATACAGAAAGACTTAAGGATGCTCTTTAGCTTACAGAAGTTTGCATTAAAGCAGTGATTATACAGCTCGACCCTGATGCTGCAAAGCTGTAGAGGACGTGCTCAGCAACTTCACAGTGCTTGAGTGAAACAAGCACCTAATGCTAACCACTGCAAGTGTGGGGCCTTGGTGGAGATTATTTACCCTGATTTGGTTACAGCTCACAGCTTACTCTGTTACATTAGCACAGGATCATGTGCTTGTGTTTATATGCAAGATATGTATTTGTAAATACTTGAAAGGTACCTAAAATATGTAAACAGTACAGCATGAAGTGGTCATGGCACCAAGCCTGTCAGAGTTCAAGGAATGTCTGGATGATGCTTTTAGCCATATGGTTTAGTTTTAGGTAGTCCTGCAAGGAGCAGAGCATTGGATTCAATGATGCTTATGGGTTCCTTCCAACTTGAGCTATTCTATGATTCTAGTATATATTTGTGTATTATAAATATAAAAGAAAAACACTAATCTATATTTTTCCTCCTCAGTATATATATACACATACATACAGCCCACTTCAGTGAAAGAACACTTACTGTGGCATTTCACTGACGCTCCTCTACAGTTTAAATACAAAATATCACTCAAAGCTTAGAGTCAAGAACATACCACCAACATTTCCATGTTAAAAAAAATCATGTCAGTTGTTTTACTTCATTTCTAATTCCTATGAAAACCTGCTATTCAGATTTAACCAATCCTAGAACTCACAATTCAGAAACTGTATCTCAAGAGCCATGCCTGTGCCAAGAAAAATGAATTTTTCTTACGTCTGCTATTTCATTTGCTCAAACCATCTCAGACACAGACACACACACAAAAAAAAACCCACAACACCCCCCCAAAAAAAACCAAAAACCAAAAAAACCCAAAAAAAACCCCCCACAAGTTTACATGAAGATATACTTTTTTTTAAGAGACTTTCAGCCTTACCAATTTTGGATGGGGAAAGGTAGAAATGGGAGTTGCTGCCCTTTCTTCCACACACACACATATGCTTTAATCAATAATGGCTGTAATTCTCAATTACGCCCTTTAAAAGGGAAGTAGAGCCCCCCTTGAATACCACAGTCCTCCTATTTTGCAGAAAATTGCATTCAAATCACAAGACAAAGAAATCCCAAATAATTTGATCTGATCAGATGTTTCCGTTTGTGCGGGTATAAATATATATTCTCATACAGAGACAGAAAAATGAAGGGACACACCCCTACAAAACCACCATGCCCAACACTTCACACCCGGTACATCCGCTAAAGAATTATTTATAATGCAGGTGTGGGTGAGCAATTACATAAAACAACCTGATGAAAAAAAAATATATCACGCAGCGATGCGACTGGCACCCAGCGAAGCTCATTCAGAGACTAAGCCGCAGGCTCACTACCAAGTCATTGTGGGGAGGCTAAAACGTGGCTACATGCCGCAACGGCTTCAAGGAGAGGTTTATTCTGCTGAGGTAGGTAGGGGAAACGTGTCTGACACACAGCCAGCCCGCTGAAGGCGGCATTAAGCACTTCAGCCCCGCTGCGGGCTGGTAGCGCACCGTGAACCGCACACGCTGACAAAACCGAGGTGCGTTCGCCTCCGGGCGCACGGGGGAAGCACCTTGTGCGCTCCCGGGGTGTCGGGCGCAGATGGGGGACAACCTGCTCCCGCCGCCGGGCACACACGGCACCGGCACCCGCGGCCC